AAAGAACTCAGGAAAAGATGTATCGCACTCACAAACACAATGCTACGCACAACAGGACTGCAGTGGGGAGCACCACCATGGGTGCTTAAGAGGTGGTACCAAGCAATAACAGAAAGAATTGTTCTCTACGGCGTAGCGATCTGGGGAAATACACTCAACGTAAGCATGCGTAGATTACTCCTGTCCATGCAAAGGCTGCAACTCTTGCTCATCTGCAAGGGCTACAGAACTACTTCAACGACAGCTCTGCAGGTTCTAGCAGGAATTCCTCCGCTAGACCTGCAAGCGGAAAGGGAGTCGTTAATTGCAAGAGTGTTAAGGCTAGGTGAGGATGGAGAGTTCTATGGGAACAACAACCACTTTGCTGAAGACTTTGAAAAACACAAGCCAGTGACGCAAGGACATCCGGCTGAAACACATCTAAAAAAGTGTATTCTAGGCCACTATGTGACACCAAAAGATAACCACACAGCTATATTTACAGATGGCTCAAAAACCGAGACGGGTACTGGCAGTGCCTTCTGCGTTCTAAAAGGTAATACAGCTGTGTATAAATGGAAAAGAAGACTTGGCAGTAGGAACTCAGTATTCCAAGCTGAGCTGGCAGCACTTAAAGCAGCAATTAATTATGTGAAGAGGAACAGACTTATCCACATTACTATTTACAGTGATTCTGCCTCTAGCCTTGACGCAATCAAAGGTTACAAAAGTAGAAGCCAGTATGTCCAAGAAATTAGAAAAATCCTCCTCAGTCTTCTACCATCAGAAAGGCCATGCCTCACGGGTTCCGGCTCACGTGGGCATTAAAGGCAATGAGGAAGCAGACACCCTGGCAAAAGAAGCAGCAAAGGAGGTCTCAAGAACAGAACTACCAGATAAATTACCTAGGTCTCATCTCAAAAAGATCACTTTAAAACAACTGATAGACAGATGGCAAGCCAGATGGGACACAGCAGATACAGGAAGGAGAACGTATATGTTCTTCCCCAAAACAACGCTAGAGTTAAACTGCAATAGTGGTAGTCAGACACAGTTTTATACAGGTCATGGCCCATTCCTGACCTATCTGCATAGATTCAGCCTGAGTGACACAGAAAGATGTCGATGTGGAGAGGTGGGGGATCCAGACCACTACGTCTTCCACTGCACAAACACGGCACAGTACCATATAAGAAAGCCAAGTCAAGCTTACTGGCCACAATGGGCGGCAAATATGAGAACAAACAAAACAGCAAATAAAAAGCTACAAGCGGTAATCAGCCATTGTCAGAGAAAGTATTCTCTAATACGACGATAAGTGTCCCCAAATAGAAATAATCAAGTGCTTAGCGCTCTGAATCATAAAATGTATAAATCACACTAAATCAATCTGGGCACACACCTCGAACCTCTCAACCCAAGACTAACTTAGATAATTAGGACTATGGCAACAACCTGCCTATATTCTTTATAATGTTTACTTTTGCAATTAATGTACAGGTCTAGGACTCGTCCCAGTAAAATCTTCAACAGCAATGAGTTTTTCCTACACTTACTAATCGTGTATTTAAATTACAAGTTTGTGATAAATAGGTTCAAGAAGGGCAAGGTCAACTTATGTTATCATCTTAAGTTTATGAATGATATTATTATTGGTATGGCATTTTGCCTTCTTAATTTTAATAAATATTCAACTTTTATGCAAATTTTAGGGAAGAAATATCTGTATTTATGTGATCAATTGCATGTTTGAATCTCTTCCCTAGTGATCAGCATTACGTGCTTAATTATGTTTTGTTTATAAATTATGTGCATGTTCTAAGGTGATAAAACTAAACTATGGAATTAATGTAGGTAAGTTTCTCTTTATAATTATGTATCAGCATTATGTATTCAAGTGTTTGGAATCAGATATCAGTTTTTACTGAGTATGGTGCTGTACTTTTCTGTTTATGTTCACTTTAAAGTACTCAAGTCTGTATTTATTCCTTCTCTGCATGTACTATGAAGGTCAGTTCGTACTTGGCTAGGATTTAGACTACATAGCATTACTTAATGATCAGTTTTATGTATTATGCTTTATCAGTTTTATTTTTAGTTTTCATGTATTATGTATGCATTTTTAAGTGTTATGTATGCAAGGCATTAGGGATCAGCTTTCTGTATTTCTGTACTCAGTATCATGTTAGTTTTTCACTTTAATATTCAGTTTTGTACTTATGTATGTATTATCCTGTCTGCAAGTACTACGAAAGAAAATGTAGGTGAATGGTTCAATTTGTAAAACAACTACAGTTTAAGTATGCGCAAAGAACTAAATTATGCAGGAAGGAATTTGTTATCTTAGTGATAACAGGTACCCATTCTTTTAAATGTTCTTACATAAGAGTCAGGCACATGGAAAGTAAACTGCGTTAAATTATGTTTGGGCGCTAGGATTTTTTTTAATCATCTTTTAATCTCTCTCTTTATTATTTTTTATTTTTATATATTTTATTTTTATTTTATTTTATTTATTTTTTTTTTTTTTTTTTTTTTTAAGTTTACTATGTGCAATAATTTAATAGGTTACAACTTTCCTCCATGCAGGACCAACGATTCCACAGAAGCCCCATAAAGATATGACAGTTGTGTCAGGATAAGCACCCGCATGTAGACATTTAGCAAGTCCAGAAAATCCACGGCAGTTAATTTTTCAGGCAAAGTCCTAATATCTTTACTTTATCTAACACAAGTTTCTGTCTATTCTAACAGCGATTCTTAACAGTCTTTTGATTGCTTCTTTGCTTAATTTTAAGTAGTTCCTAACAGGATACTCTTTCCCCGTACAACAACATCCAAGCTTATATGTAGACTTTATGAGGCTCATAGCCGTCTATTCGGCTGCGTTCCCGGAGCAGGATGGAGCAGAGAGTAGATGGTTTCTGCCAGGAAGATAACACACAGTGAGGCTAAGGCCAGGTCAGTGGTCTTCCTTGGTGGCGCTCACTCACTCACTCACTCTATCAAGGGTATCGAAAGACGTATACAATTTTAAATGTACCGTAAGGTATTTTTCATTCTTTAAGCATAACATTTTTCTTAAAATCTATATTTTTGTAGTGCAACAGCTTATAATTTTATAAAACAAATTCATAATCAAAATCGCTGTTGTTAGTTATCGAAAAATAACCAAGATGTGATTTTTGCGTAAATGTCACTAAACTATACAAATTGCTATTATCCATCACACTATGAATGTTTCTTTCATGCGAGTCCCTTTTTTGATTTCTATGGAACTGTCGTGTGTCGAAATACTATCAGAATCTTGTCAAGCGAGCTTCTGAATGTAAACAAAGAACACCCCCATCTGGTGACCCAAGCTCCAAAGCAGTGCTTCGCTTTTAGCGCGGGTTGGCCCCTCCTCCCTTTCCTACCTCCATGTCTAGACCAGCGGGTCGTCAACCCTTAGAACTTCACGGACCACTACATATATAATTTTATATTTGGCGGACCGCTAATATGAATTTAAAAAAAAAAACCTTTAAATCAGACCTTAAAAACAACATATTAATAAGCAAAAACAATATTCAACTTTCCAATACATGTAATTTTAATTTTCCTTTGCTAATATAATTATCGAAACATTTGGTGTTCAGTAGCATGCCTCTATAGAAGTTCAAGCTAGGCGCCTGATTATGAGTAACAATTAAAACACTATTAACATCTCACTGATACACATATTTCGTTCACATTGAAAAATTATTTAAAAAGTACAAACTTCTTACCTTCTTGAACAGAAAGCTTCACATTTCCATATCACTAAAAATAAACTTCACTAAAAGCAAGAACAAACTGGCAAGATTGGCAAAGAATCAATAAACTGAAAGTGTTATACCGCCAATTTTTAATTATTGTAAACATAATAATCATCGCTTACGCAGCAATGGCGCCATCGATCAACAGTTAGACAAAATAAAAACGGAAACTTCCAGTGATGCAATTATAAACAAGAATGCAGATAGTTTCATAAAAATCCATCAAGTTGCCTATTGACAATGAGAAAAACTGGGTTATTAACGACCACAATAGCATATGTTTATAATTCAAAAGTAAAAAGAATACCAGTTCGTGCTATTATTGCTAACTGCAGCATAGTCATGGATGCCAACTCTCACTTTCAAATGTCGCTAGATACACCTGCAAAAGCAGCTAAAGAAATCGCTATATTCAGAAGGAATTTCGCTGAAAGTAATAGATAAAATTTTTTTAAATAAAGTATAATCCATATTCCATAATAGGTTTTGTTACTCGTCATTTTTTAAACTGAATCTTCATGAAAATATAAATAATGTCCCAATTTTTCTGAGGACCAAAACATTCTCACGGACCACCGGTTGGGGACCGCTGGTCTAGACAACGCGAGCGATGTGAGATGGATTCCCCAGCTTGCAGCTCAATGTATATGCACATAGTTTAATGTAATAAACAAAATTTATTAAATACCTGTAGAGTAAAAGAAAACACACCTTAACAGAAGAGAAACAGAAATGCAGAGCCACAGTCTGAAACTAGGACTTGCAAGTAGAATGCACTCGATGGTACAACCAGGGCTTATATGAGATTTTGGGATGGTCAATGTTTTTTGCTTTTGATATTGTAATTGTGGACTGACTTTTTTTTTTTATCCTATTGGCTTCCATATATTCCGCTTATCTCCATGCATTCTAAACTTATATACTACAAATATTTAATACTTTTCAGATATTATGTGCATCTTCCCTCAATGTTTTCCTGAAATATTCAGCAGAGTCTGTAAAACCAATTAATAGTGTATGGGGGACTGAATGGTTTCTCTGCGGGACTGAATGGTTATTTTCGCATAAGCATTATTGATAGCTGTTGCGAAGAGCTTTTATTTCTTTTACCATGGTTAAGATATGGTAGCTTGATGCATTCTAGAACTAAGCAGAAATTAAATAAAATAATTTCAATCATATTTTACATTTTGCTCATTTTCATAGTTATTCTCTTTTTACCAGAATTTTCGCAAATGGCATTTGACCCAAGTTGCATACCTTCTACGATGCCTGAAACACACACAACGGAAAATGAAAATGAAATTAGAAATTCTGGAGTAATTTGCTGTAAGAAACCAAAAACCAAGCTGATGAAGCGTCTTCGAAATATTTTGCTTTACGGTAAGCATTTGTACTCTTACTCAGAATACCTTAAATATTTTAACTTAGTTAGGAATACTATTTTTTATTTCTGTCTAATTAATAGATAAAATTAATAAACTATTCCAAATTTCATTCCCTTCGCATATAATAGAAGAAAAACATGCGAAATTTGGTGAGGAAAAAGTTTCAAAATCCACAATGTTTTGCAATATTCAAACTTTAAAAGTTCCATTTGTTCCTAGAAATGTATTGCATTCGTTTGACATCAGTACATTATCAACATGTAGTGCCATAACTATTGACTAACAAATACTAATTTTCTCCTTAATTTTTAAATACTGTGATTATCTTAGAAAGTAGTCACCAAGAAGAATGTGTACAGTAAAAATATTTTATACTAAAAAAAACATTTTAAATTTATCTATATTTTAAAATCAGTATGCAATATTAAGAAATAATTTTTGCAAAATGCAAATATTATGTACATATTAAGTATAATTGTTTGTTAAAATTCATTACTGTTCAAAACGAATCCTGTAACATGAAATTATCATTCAATTAATTACAATTATTAAGTTTTAAAGTGTTTATCATCACGACTGTATCCTCGCAATGAATCAGATATGATCCTCATATCTTACATGCGTTTCAGTTTTAAACCCACTGGGAAATTTCTATCCCAATAAAGCTTTTAAACATCTCCCTAATAATCAATAATATAAGGTTTTGTACATTAAATATTATTTTGCTGCATGTAACTTTGTAGTTATCTATGAGTAAAAACAAGATGAGAAACCTGGTACTTTTGAAAAGATCACAGCAAGCAAAGATGGAAATTCTTCATTTTGATTTCGATGAAAGCAGTTCAATAAGCGTTAAATTATAAATATTAATCGTAAATTATACTTAATCTGCACACTTGTTTACCGTTCTTAAACTATGGACGACTTATTGTAATTTTCTTTAAGCCTAAAGTCCATAACACTATAGAATGCAGCAAAAGTTAAATTCAGCTTTATTTACTACAAATCTTTCCTTGCAGGGAAAAATTTAAAAGATTAAATTACTGCTCCCTGTCGGCGGGAAATCGAACTTAAATATGAACAAAATAAACAGCAAATTAAGTATAAGGTAGCCGGGCTCCTAATTATGCGTGATAATAATTTTGCGCTAAACTAATTATGTTCCTAACTAGCAGTAATAAATGTGAACAAAAACCACAAGGCATTCACCGAAACCAACATGGCCGGAGGTTGGAAATAAAAGAACAGCATTACTGGTAGCATCGACAACTATCTTTTTTAACTTTTGATCGCTACTGTAATCTCACCGAAATTACATGTCTGGTGGAGATGGTGGAAGGAACTGAAGTTACAGGAAAGAATTAATATAAAAATGATATGTTTATTAAAATAAATCTTATAATATTTATTAAAATTATTTTTGTATTTTGCTCGCTTAGTTAAAAAGAAAATAAGTAGCTAAATAATTAACAAACTAATAAAAAGTATAAAATATTGACTTCCTTGTTCCTTTTAACTTTTCACTTCCCATGTTCCCATGTTCATTTATTCTGACTCTTACTTTATCAATATTTGTTCCTTTTTATTATTTATGATTGTTCATGTGTTATACTTGAGGGTTTTTTTTTTTTTTTTTTTGTATGTTTGAATTGATATTTCCAATAAAGCCATATGCAACAACAATAAAATATTTACTTCAAATCGCTTAAGCATCTTATCAGATAATTTTGTGTGATGAATTTGCTGTGGCGTACTTAACATTACACCAATTTTTCCGACTACAACCCATCAGTACATTAAAATAATCCGGAAAATTTATTTATCTTTCTTTGCAGGGTTAATATTAATTGTACTATGAGACAATTTTATTATTTCACTTAGCTATTTTATTTCAGCAAAAGTTAGGCAGTTAAAAAAAATATATTTTTAATTCAGCAGAACAAAATACAATGCATTTTGTCCTTCAAAATTAAAAACTGCAGTTACTTTTGCTACTATTATTAATTTTCGGCCTTAACAATATATCCCATTTCTCTTTCAACTAAGAGAAGAGAAAGGAAATTAATTTTTATTTAAATATTTCCTAAATCTAAATGCACAATTTAGTTTTCCTAGTTAGTTTTCTTACTTAAACGTATAACTTATCTCGTTTCAACAAAATCTTAAAACATTTTAAGTATAAATAATCACTACTTAAATCTCACCATCTTAATCACTTACTCAAAATCACTCGTTTCAACAACGAAATTAATAACGTAATGTATTGTCAATAAAGCTTTGAATCTATATTTTGGGATGAATTTACGAATTTAATGAAAACAATTTTTAAATTCTCATTTCATTTTGCGAGAGGAAATGTTTTAGCAGTTAATATTTTTAGTTTACTAAAATGAATTACTTTTTTATATTATTAAATCAATGGGGTGAAACCTCCAAATAAGTCAAAAACAGTCTTAATTTTGCTTGATCTTAGAAAAGAACTAAATATTTAGATGACTGGATTTCCGAATATCCGGAGTTCAGACAGTTGGACCTCTAGTCTATTTGAGCATTAATTTCTTTAAATGGTATTCAGTGATTAATCAAGAAAACATTAATTGAGTTTACTCGATGTTTTAAAGTAAAAGTATTATTTTAAATTGAACGAAAATAAACAAAATAGTGTTCCTAAATACTATAAAGTTTTGTTTCATTCTGAACATGCTATTGGAATTTATAAATCAGACCATCCTTAAGTAAGTTTCTAAAGGTTATAATTATTTCCCGGTTTTAATTAAAATAAATTCATAGAGCTCATTATTAGCGTTAATAAGGCAGGACAGGACAGGAAAAAGTGCAGGGGCACCACGACTTCGTCATAGACAAAAATAGTATTGCCCCACTGCACTAACCTTTTCTGGCATTTATTTAGACAAAAGATTATATTTCAAGTCATTACATTACGCAGTTGACATAATAAATTACATTAAAGTAACAAGTTATTTACATAGGAAGAACAATTATACAGATAAACTGGGGTACAGGTAATTGAGGTGCAGATATATTGGTATATAGGAATCAATATGGAGATAACATGTTACAATTGATTAGGTGTTGCAGTTTGACATTTGTTGGTGTGCTTGGAGGAATGCCTTAGCATTTGGGAAGATGGATGTGATGTGAGTTATAATGCTATGTTATTTTCGTGTTGGTGGTATCGTTGTGTGATTGTGCACAGATTTTGCAGAGTTTACTTTGCACAGAGTTCATTGTGCATAGAGTTCAATGTGCACAGAATTCTGCGCAACATCATGGAGAGCACTTTGTATAATGAGCATCAGATAATAGTGTAAAGTTCAAAGTACTGCGCTTTGGAAGTTTGAAGGCACTGGTAGTTGATAATCATCACTCACATAAATAGTGATGACTTAGGATAGGAGCACTCCCTGTTGAATATCATATTTGAATCATATGAGTACCTTAGATTGTTTCCATGGAAAGTTAAATGGTGAAACTGCAGATTAGGTGTCGTTCTTCAGTATAGGTGAGCAAAAATAGTCATGATTCTTTGGACATCTGGCACTTCGATTGCTAGGTATTCATCATTACTTCCGTTTTGTTATTTATGAGTGGCATAGTTCTCTACCTTGTTGTTGTAGCTTGTCTATGATTAGTTTAATGTTTTTGTAGGTGTGTTGATGGTTGATTAGGAATCTTTTAAATTCCATTCCCACTTGAGTAGGGTGTTTGACGTGTAGGTTGGCGGTTAGTAGGCAATGAAAGTTATAATCGTCAGGGTCGCCTCTTTCCCCACATACGCACAAATCAGTTGAAGTAAAATTTCTTTCCAAGAAATAAGCGTGAATAAGGCAGCAAGTTAAGTTTGAAAAGCAGAAGTAGCGACTTTTTGTTTTTCTTCTCAACGCATACATAAACCTGTACGAAGAATAAAAATATGCGTGTCAAAACTTTTACAAGAAACTGAAATCGAAAGATAATACTTACTTTAAACAAACTGTCAACTTACTAAGGCTTATTCATAAAAAATAATACCTTAGTTTCTCTCACGCAACTAAGGAGAATCAGCATACCAAGATCTGTCCTTAAATCACTTAAATGATTCATTAGATCCGAAGTGGACCATTACATGCACTGATAATGCCAAAATTAAGTACGGTACAGATTTTTATATTTAACATCTTGCATCAGTGTTTCAGATCTCTCAAAAGTTTATCATAACATTATCATGTCATATTCCTGGAGTCTGTATCCACCTGGCTATTTGACCGTAAGGATTCTTGAAATTTAAAAGCCAGGCCAATGATGCATTTTCTGCCGTAGAGGTAATGATGAAAATGTTCTACGGCTTTGACTATGGCGAGCAACTCTTTCCTGGTGACACAGTAATTCCTCTCCGGTTCAGACTGGCATTTGCTCCAGTAAGCCACTACACGTTCTTGGCCGTTTATTTCTTGGGACAAAACAGCACCGACACTTTCATTGCTCGCGTCCCGTGTCGATGGTCTGTCGAGCTGAGGATACGTCAGCATTGGAGCAGATGTTAAAGCTTCCTTCAGATTCTTAAATGCATCCTTGCATTCTTTCGTACACAAGAACTTTTGCTTGCTCTCTGTCAGCTTGTGAAGGGATCTTGCGATGGAAGATAAGTACGTCACGAATCATAACATTATCGAGATACAGAACAATGGGAAATATAAACAATACTACCAAGAAAAAAATCCAAGAGAAGTAAAACATTTTACAAATCTTAGAATCTTTAGTTTCTGTCATAATGAAGTTCAAAAATTTAGTTCAGAAATGGATTAGAATGGCAGTTAAAAGAGGTTAAAACACACTTTTAGTTCAAAAATGGGTTTTCCAGAGTAGGAAGAAAGAAGAGAGAAACAACTAAGCTACAGACGTCAGATAAGACCGAGGGACTAAAGGAAAACATGGGGCTCAGTATGGGATGTATGACTCAGACTCAAACTCCTTATGCTCAGTACGAGTTCATTC